CGACTGTATGTTTCAGACAGTAACTATTCCAAAGTTGCTAAATGAAGTTACAGTAGAAAAGCAGTGTACACATTAGCAAAAGTATGTAAACTTTGTAGTCAGAGTAGCTATTTTCTAACTTAGCCACCACCTCTAATCGACTCTGTGAAGTCATGACATTTAATCTCTTTGTGTTTCCATTGTCTGAAGTGTGTGTGCGCGCGCTGTGCTGATGAGGTAAAGGGTTGGCTCGCTTTCGAGAACACATCAATTTTCCACTTCTAAAACTGTAGTAAGAGTACTCACTTATAAGAGTTTCTGCTTTTTCTTTCTCATTAAAATCTTGTGATTGGCATCCATATTGTGCTTTAGATAAGAAGAGATTCTTGTGAGACCTAAATGAAACATCAAAGCTTGTAACTGGTTCCACAAAGAGTATTATTTTTTTCTCGGTCATTTTTCTAGTTTGGCCAGTTCCCTTTGATGCTCTCCTTGCTTAGTGTCCCACCTTAACCTATGGCCTCTTAAGGTTTTTTATTATCAGACTTCCCTTTCTCCCATCACTTATTTTCTCCATCTCATCTATTCAGAATGAAGATTCCTTTGGCCTTCAATTAGATAGATCAAGAAAAAAATCCTCAGACCATAAAGCATTAACTTTCATTCTTTGCTATGGCTTATAAGTTCATTTTCTCCAAAGAGAAATTCCAAAATTTCTTTACACATGATGGCAGGTATCATTTGACTGTCTTTATAGCTTCCAAAAAGGACTTTTCTGAAAGGTAAGCTGTTTGAAAATATAGGATGTGGAAGAATTTGACAACTCTGCAAAATTAGTATTACTCCAATTTTATAAAGATGCAAACTATGATGAAAAAAGTTCACCTAAGCGTACGCAGCTATTTTATCACCACCTAAAACCTCTACTTCCACCCCTGTAAGTGCTCTATATAACCTGCTAATCCTTTCCCTCCCTCCTGTGCTCTCTGGAATGCCATTCCAGCCTCTTCACCTTTATCCCACCTCTTTGCCTTCTTTAACATGTAGCCCCCCTTAGGTACAATTTTTCTCTCCTTTGTGGACTTCTCAAGTGAGACTTAATTTTCTGCCTTCCATGAACCTCGGGTCCCAGAGGTGGATCTCTCTACTTTTCATTTCCTAATGAATGCCACTTTCAGGATCCTGCTTCCACAGAGACCTTAGCCGGTGAGGACTTGTGCCACTGAGATGCACCACCACCCACCACCTACTATTCTTCAGTCAACCACTATCCTTCCAAGCACTTCCCATCATCAGATCTCTCTCTCTACCCCTAACTGCTGCTGTTATCATTAATTATTTCAGTGTTCTCATAGGTAACGCATATAGCATCCTGGCCTCTCAATTTCTCATTCCCAATGAGCTCCTCCCCACCAGGTCAGCCACTCCAAACACAATTTCAGTCAGCATCCCAACTTTTCTATCTCTGAAATTATTCATGCAGACTTTCTGCTCGCTGAACATGTGACATTGTCTATCACAGCATTTCTAATAGTTACAGTTTTTTTTGTTTTTTTTTTTAAAATATATTTTATTGATTTCTCACAGAGAGGAAGGGAGAGAGATAGAGAGTTAGAAACATCGATGAGAGAGAAACATCGACCAGCTGCCTCCTGCACACCTCCCACTGGGGATGTGCCCGCAACCCAGGTACATGCCCCTGACCGGAATCGAACCCGGGACCCTTCAGTCCGCAGGCTGACGCTCTATCCACTGAGCCAAACCGGTTTCGGCTAGTTACAGTTTTTCAAGTAATTTCATAAAATTGGCAATTTGAGCCCTGGCTGATGTGACTCGGTTGAGTGTTATCCCATGTACCAAAAGATTGCCAGTTTGATCCCAGTCTGGGTGCAGACAAGAGGCAACTAATCGATGTTTCTCTGTCTCTCTCCCTCCCCCTCTCTCTAAAATCAATAAAAACATGCTTTAAAAAATCAGAATTTGGGATACTCATCAGAAATGTAACTTCCATCCTTCTCCTGCTGCAACATCATATTCTTATTTCTATGGCAGAGGAAGAGTTTGCTAAACACCTGCTTTCAGTTCAAGTACTCCCTATGCGTGTATTCCAACAATGGCCCTATAGAAACAATGTGAAACAACCTGGGTCCCAGAGGCAGGTCTCTATAGTTTGGAATTTCAGGACATGTCAGGGTCTTGAATATCTGCTGAGGTAAGTAGGAACAGGCAATATTTTTTAAATAATACCATTTTCATGGCAGTTATTATGACCTGTCTAGGTTCTGCATGAATTTCTAAAAAGATTTTAAAACGGAGAAGAAATAATGTCTATTTGCCTTACCTCATTAAAGATATTGTATCCTGTGAGGATTCAGTTACTGCAGATGGTTTGTTATTAACACTGAAAGGAAGAAAATAATTATAAGAATGCAATAAAAGTAAATATTTCATAAGAACAGTCCTTTCTACCCTGGCCAGGTAGCTCAGTTGGTAGAGCATTGTCTCGATATGCCAAGGCTGTGGGTTCCATCCCCGGTGAGAGCACATATAAGAATCAACGAATGAATGCTTAAATAAGTGGAATAACAAATTAGTATTTCTTTCTTTCTGTCTCTAAAAAAAACAAAAAAACAAACAAAACCAAAACAAAACAGAATAGTAGTTTTCACGCAATTTATTAAAAATTTCAGTGCATAAAAACCATCTTTGTGAAAGAAATCCTGGTAACTTTGGGCTATATATTTCATTACAACATGACTAATTTTTGCCACCATTCTCTAACTGAACTTTATTTTATTTTCTGGTTAATCATCACCCAAGGATGTTTTTCCATTGACTTTTATAGAGAGTAGAAGGGAGGGAGGGAGGAAGGGGGGGAGAGAGAAATACATTGATGTGAGAGACACACATCGCTTGTTTGCCTCCCGCATGTGCCTTGACCAAGGTGGGGATCAACCTGGCAACCCAGGTACAAGTCCTTGATCAGGAATCAAACTCACCACCCTTTGGTGTGTAGGCCAACACTCTAACCACTGTGAAACACTGGCCAGGACTAACTGATGTTTTTTATGAATCCTTCCCCTTTGTGATAGTTAAAATCAGCTCCCACAACACAGCACCACCATTACATCACCACGGCTTCACGGCAACTATTCTCTCCTGAAAGGATACTTCCTCTTCCATTCACCTGTAAAAATCCAAACCACCCTCCAAGGCCCTGCTCAGTGCTAACCCGTCCTTGAAGCTGTCCATGTAAAGTCTTTCAGCGTGTAAGTCCATCTGCACACTAACAAGTTAATGTCTGTGTGTTTCACGTCTCTAATTCTGATGACCTCAAACAGTTTATAAGCTTTATCAGAGCACAATATTTCATCCAGCACTGATAACACAAGGGCTTCATTTTTCCTAGCATTTTTATGACCTTGCAGTCACAACTCTGATTCTATTTGCTTCCAGGATAGCTTTGTTAGTTGCTTGACTCTTGATCTCTACTTTGTGTCTAGTTTTGGTTTTGCTCCCTATGTCTAGTGCACTGCAAGTTCTAATGTATACCTGGTAATGAACTAGGTACCTTGGATACAAAGCTTATTAAGAACCTCTAAAGAATTCTTAATCTAGTGAGAGATACAGGCGGGTAAAAAAATATGTTACTGTACAAGGTAAGTCCCTTCACACAGGTGTGACTCAGTGCTATGGGTGCACAGAAGTGACAACTCTGATCAGAGAGCACAACGAGACTTCTTGTAGGTGATCTTTCAGCTAGACCTTGAATGGCAAGTAAGAGATTGCCTTGAAGAGAATAGAAAGAAGGAAATTCAAAACTGAAGAGCCCTGGCTGGTGTGGCTCAGTTGGAGTATCGTCCCATGCATGGAGAGGTTGCTGGTTCAATTTCTGGGCAGGGCACATGCGTGGGTTGTGGGCTCGATCACCAGTAGGGGGTGTGCAGGAGGCAGCCGATTGATGTTTCTCTCTCTCCCTAAAATCAATAGAAACATACTTTAAAAATTTTTTAAAAACACAATAACTGGCCCTACCGGGTTTGGCTCAATAGATAGAGCGTCAGCCTGTGGACTGAAGGGTCCCGGGTTCAATTCTGGTCAAGGGTACATACCTGGGTTTTGGCCTCCACCCCAGTAGGGGGCAAGCAGGAGGCAGCCAATCAATGATTCTCTCTCATCATTGATGTTTCAATCTCTCTCTCCCTCTCCTGTCTTCTCTCTGAAATCAATTAAAAGACAAACAAACAAAAAAGACATTCCTTGTTGCCCTAGCCAGTTTGGCTCAGTGGATAGAGCGTCAGCCTGTGGACTGGTCCCGGGTTCAATTCCAGTAAAGGACACCGACCTCATTTCTAGGCTCCTCCTCCTCCCAGGCCGTGGTCGGGGCTCCTGCAGGAGGCAATCAATCAATGTGTTTCTCTCACATCGTTAATTCTGTCTTTCCCTCTCTCTTCCACTCAATGGAAAAATCAATGAAAAAATATCCTCAGGTGAGGATTAAAACGAAACGAAACAAAACAAAACACAAAAACACAAAAACTGAAGCAAGGGTCAAGGCATGAAACAGCTTGTAATATTTCAAGATGAGGGAGAAGTTCTGGCTGCTAGAAAGTACCATGTATGTGGACAGGGAGGGGACAATATTATGAAGAGAAAAAAAAAAAGACAAAAGCAAAACCAGAAAGGGGCTTTGTAAGGCCCTGTAAGCCATGCCAATAAATTATAACTCGTCTAGTAAGAAGAGAAAGCCAACAGAGGTTATTGTGAAGTGATTTAGACAGACCTGCTTTCATGGGAAGCTAACTCTGGAAGTCATGCCAAGGATGGATTTGTGTGGTACAAAGCTAAGTAATAATCTATATATATAAAAAGCCTAAGTGACCGTCTGACCAGTGACATGCACTGACCACCAGGGGGCAGACGCTCTAGTAAATTATAAGAAAGGATGGGTTAGAGAGACATTTCTGAGATGGGATTCATAACACTTGGGGAGGTAACTGGATGTGTGAGGTGAGGGAGTCAGGTTACAGAGAGCAGATGAGAAATCAACAATTCTGTTTTACACAGTGATTTACTTTGTGTCTAGACATTTGAAACAAGTAGGTGGTACTATATAAGGAAGGCACATAGGATAGGTGTTCATTATCTGCAAGAATCATGGTAAATTTTTATTTTAAAGCAGTATTACACTGGGCAGGAAGGCTGGGCCATGAGAATGTATTAGGTATTAGTATTACTAAATTTTAATTTCCTAAATAAAATACAATAATTGAGTCAATAAAAATAAAATCTGGCCCTGGCCAGTGTGGCCCCGTGGATAGGATCAGCCCATGCACTAAAGGTTCTTGGGTTCGATTCCCTGTCAAGGGCACATACCTGGGTTGCAGGTTCAATCCCTGGCCCTGGTGGGGGTGCATGTAAGAAGCAAGCAATTGATGTGTCTCTTACTTTGATGTTTCTCTTTCTCTCTCTTTCCTCCACCCACCACACCAATGGAAAGAATATCCTCCAGTGAGGATTAACAAAAAAAAAAACAAAACAAATAAAATGGCAAATTAAAAATTTTTTTAAAAATAAAATCTATACTTCTCAGAATGAGTCTTTAAAAAAAAAAAAAAGTCAATAAGAACTAAGACTTTAACAGAGTCTTTGCAGAGATGAGCCAAATCCTGTTCTGATAGTAGGGACAGGAGAGATTACCTAATTATAAGATGACTGAGCTCAGCCCTGATGTGTGACCAAAGCTATGTCCATCCAACTTGTTGGATACCAATCCTCACCTCTAAATAAGTAGTTAAGGAGACCACAGAATGACTATCTTCTGGCCTTGAATTAAGGGTGAAAGAATAGAGGGAATGGACCATAGATTCAATAGAAAAGAAGGTTTTTATAATGGAAGGGTTTATATTATTGACAGGGTTAGCTTCTAAAACCAAAGCAAAGGTAAAATCAATTGTGTAAGTCACCCTTGCAAACCCCTAAAGAAATAACTCTGGAGACTGAACTCTTGTCTCTCAATATGTACGACTAAACAGTGGTTTCCCTCAGCACTGGAGCAAATCACTGTTTCTTCAGTGGAGCAGCAGATGAAGCGGGCTAGCTTACCCTTAGAGAAGATGTGTGAGCAATGTCTTTTTAAAAAAATATATTTTATCGATTTTTTACAGAGAGGAAGGGAGAGAGACAGAGAGCCAGAAACATCGATGAGAGAGAAACATCGATCAGCTGCCTCCCGCACACTCCCCACCGGAGATGTGCCCGCAACCAAGGCACATGCCCCTGACCGGAATCGAACCCGGGACCCTTCAGTCCGAAGGCCGACGCTCCATCCACTGAGCCAAACCGGCTACGGCAGCAATGTCTTAAATAGTAGAATAACCCTCAGTAGTGTCAAACAGTCAAATAATAGGGCAAGTGGGATCTGAGAACTAAGGGGCACAGATGATTCAGGTTTCTAACCTCAACACTGTTCCAGAGCACATGTCCTCTGAGAATGGTAAAAGACATTACATTATTTAAACTGTGTATTTTCTCATTCTCTATTTTTGTTTGGCATATATAACAGAATTTTGCATAAACCATGAAATAACTCTACATATGCCAAATCAACAAATGTTAATCATCAGCAAGACAATATACCCACAGCTCAATGATTATTTTTATTAATAATGGCTCACTAGTACCACTTTTACATAAAAAGACTGCATCAGAAGACAAAAAATATGTAAATAGATTTACAAACCTTTTGCATACTTCCAAATTAGCTTGAGTTTCCATGTCAACATCATTATCTTGAGAAACTGTTGTTCTTGCTCTTTTACTTTCTACTACTTTTGCTGCTGCCTTAAAAAAAGTTGTTGGGGAAAGAAAGGAATGCATTAAGCCATTTTAAACAAAGAGCATTAAATTAAAGCTTCTAATTCTTTGATAGTCATAACCAAAATATCTATTCACAGGCCAATCAAGGGCACTATGCTGTAGCTGTGACATCATGAGCAGCTACTTCAGCTATCTGCTTCGTTTGTAAGCATTATGCAGGTCTTTCCTTGTAAATATATGTTACACCTCCAATGTTCTCTTGGAAATTTGAAGATAAAGTTACTTTACTTTTTCCAAAAAAATGCAAAAACTTTCAGTAAAATTTAATTAAATTGAAACTAAATATTTTTGCTTATTTCTTAACTCATTCTAAGTTTTCCCTCTAACTTTTTAAGAGGGAAAACTTCAACTCTTATTTTGAAAAGTTGTAAAAATACTATAAAAATCACCAAGAAACCCTTTACATTCACTAATTGTAACATTTTGCCACATTCTTTTACAAAAAATCACGAAACAAAATTCTGATTTGCTTTTAAAGGATTTCTATTTCAAGTATTCTTCTTCATTATATCAATTTCTCCTAAGTCTACCAGTCTTTCTGAATACATGCATACCTTCATTAGAAATGTTGATGATTTTTCATCAAGTACATAATTCACAAAACTCTTAATTTTCTCCATCATATGGCTGTAGCTGAAGTGTTGGAAAAAAGAATGAAATGTATCTTTCTGAGAGATTACCATAAGCAATTTTCTTTGTAAAGACTAGAGAAAAGAGAAGAAACATTAACCCATAAATCAAATAAGATACTAGAAATTTTGTCATAATTAAAAAGATCACTTTGTAAATATAAACTCAAAGACCTACAATTAAGAGATTTTTAAGATTCTCATGTTTTAAATCGCCCACCAATTTATTTTTCCTGACTTAAAGAAACACCTTATATTTCACACACATACAAAAGAACTTTAAAAAGATTACAAACCTGAATGTCCATTACCAAATTTAAGAACTAAGATATCATCTGTACAGTCACAGCCCTTGTTTATAAGGGCAGGGAACCCAATAAATGTATTAGGCTTTCTGCTGCAATCTGGAGTGTTATACCCCAGGAACAGGAGCAAATTAGACACAGACAGAGCCATACGAAAACTATAACTGACTCTCAACTTGGCTTAGTCCCTCAATGGATTAGTGATCACCCCAAAACTCCGTATTTGTACCAGTAAATGAAAAGATGCTCACCTGCATTAGTCATCAGGGAAATAAATTAAAACCCAATGTGGCCCTAGCCAGTTTTGCTCAGTGAATAGAGCGTTGGCCCACGGACTGAAGAGTCCTGGGTTTGATTCCAGTCAAGGGCATGTACCCTGGTTGCAGGCTCGATCCCTGGCCCTGGTCGGGGTGTGTGTGGGAGGCAACCAATCAATGTGTCTCTCTTACATCAATGTTTCTCTCTGTATCTCCCCCTCCCTTCCACTCTCTCACTCTCCCACAGCACTAGAGAAACTGACATAATATTAATATAACTATTTTGAAAAACTATTTGGCAGCATCTACCAAAACTGAATGAATATGTTCATATCCTGTAACCCATCAATTCTATTCCTAAGTACATACCAATAAAAACACATACAAGGTGTCCCAAAAAATGTATATGCACTTTGAATGATTATAAAGTCAGTGTTTTTTAACATACAAAATTTAAAAGAATCTGTAGAAATGAATACTGTTTTGTGCCTGTTTCCAAACTGATGACCGTTCTAGTTCAGGGACTGCTGATAATGCGAAGCAGTGGAATCGCAAACATCAAGAATCATTTCACCTTAGCCAGTTTCTCAGTGGTTAGAGCGCTGGCCCATGGACTCAAGGGTCTCAGGTTTGATTGCGATCAAGGGCACATACCTCTACGGTTACAGGCTCAATGCCCAGTATGCAGGAGGCAACCAATAGATATGTCTCTCTGTTTCTCTCTCTCTCTCTGTCTCTCCCCCTCCCTTCCCCTCTAAAAATCAATAGGAAAAATAAATATCCTCAGATGAGGATTAACAAAAACAACAAAAAAGAATTATTTCTTTTGGCATTTGTGTGCCTCCAATTAGTTGACTGTTGCCGGTTTTATCTTTTATGTACCACCATAAAAAAGTCTACTGGCACTTTAGGATAAATTTTCTTTGTTCAAAGCTTAGTCTGGCTTCACCTATTATTTCAAATCAGTTAAACGTGAAAAAGATTGAAAATTACGGTAAGTGAGTTATCAGCTATTAAAGTGTGTAAATATTTCTTTGGGACACCCAGTATATGTACTACAAAAGACAAGTATAAAGGAATGTAATAACCCCAAACTGAAAATGACTCCAAATGTCCATCAAGAGTAGAATGTTATAGTATATTCCTACAATGAAGCAACAAGAATGAACTACTGTCATAAGCAACACCATGGATCAATATTAATATATATATAAACTTGCTATACGATTCTATTAAATAAGTTCAGAAACAAGTAAAATTGATCTTGGATGTTACAAGTCAGACCAGTGGTTACCCTTGAGAAGGTGGGAAGGACAGTGACTGGAGGGTGAGGGTGCTGGTTATCTTCTGATTCATGGTCTAGGCGCAGTGGTCAGCAAACTGCAGCTCGGCAAACCGCGGCTCGCGAGCCACATGTGGCTCTTTGGCCCCTTGAGTGTGGCTCTTCCACAAAATACCGACTTCTGAGCATGGGCCACGAAGTTCAAGCGCACTGTACGTGCGCGCCCCCACGTGGTATTTTGTGGAAGAGCCACAATCAAGGGGCCAAAGAGCCGCATGTGGCTCGTGAGCCGCGGTTTGCCGACCACGGGTCTAGGGGCTCATCACACAAATATGCTCCTTTTGTGAAAACACACCTACTTACACATTTATGATACATGCACTATGCTAGAGGTATGCTATTAATAAAAAATTTACAGAAAACATATAAAACTATTTTTCTTTGAATAAGCTTAATTTACTCCAATAGCACTTTGCTTTTAATCTCTGACCTTAACAACTAATGAACATATAAGAAACTTACAGAAAAATAACCAAATTATAATGCCTTCTTCCATCCTGCAATGCCCAATATAGTAGCCACTAGCCACTCATGGCTACTAAGCCCTTAAAAGGTATGACCCCAACTCAGTCAGTGTGGT